AAAAAAAAGGCAAAAAGGTCGGTTAATGGGGAAATATTTTAACACAATGCAATAATGGAGGTCTTGGTGATTAAAAAACTGAATTTGAGAGGTGCACTCAACACTTGTATGAACAGTACCATAAGTGTATATACATTGAGGAGCCTTTCTGATCACACTTCATACTGTTAAAGGAAATCTGAACTCTGTTTACCCCTTTATCCTTCCTCTGGGCCTTCATGCGTCCTACAATTTTACCATCTCGAATTATCAGTTTCTTCTTTGATGACTTTTCAAGCATGTAAAGTGACTGAGCCTGCAAGTTGTAAAGAAAAGAAAAAGTAAATTCACTGAAATGTTATTCAGAGGAGCAAATCACTAAGGTGTCCAACATAAATTGTAATTTTTCTTGTATGAATACAAACCCACAAAATTACACATGCTGTACAGAGAAACAAACATTCTACTCAGTTTAAGAATATCTCTTCATGAAAATCAATTGAGAGAATGAATGGCTAAATAATGACATGAAATTATGCTCACTAGTCTGTAACCCTTGTTTGTTCTCTGATGTGTATTATGATTTTGTTGGATACAATTTTAATTCAAAGTTTCATATAATTCTGCTTAGTATATCATTACAACATAGTAGTTCCAGGTTTGAAGCACCATATTGTATTTTTATACTGCTCTGCACATTCTAACCTGTTCTAATATAATTTGAAATTACTACAAGAAATCCAAGTTAGGTTAGGTACATATTTTAAGAATATGATTTACTGATCATCTGGCCACAGGATGCATATAAATACAGTAAAATTATATCTGTACAAATTTAGTTCCTACAAAGCATTGGTCTGTTATATATATTACTCCTCAACACAATGGACAGATTTTCCAATGTTAAAGTATTCATTTTTACAAAATATAGCAAGTATGTGTTATGCAGAGTCAGTATATGTATCATGGATATTAGTCTCCATTTTGCAGTGATTTACACAAAGCTGAATGCCAGTTAGCAAACATATTTCAATTTCTGGGATTTCTGTTTCAAAAATAATATAGGATACATTTTGTTACAAACTGCCCATACCATATGGTACCAGAGACCACACGCAGCAAAGTATATGCAAGCTACTCAAATCTGTATCACTCATTTCATGTAATCATTTCATATCACACTAATGGATGTAGGCACCATAAATCCTTTCCAGAAAGCCTTGTTCCTTTATGTGCTTCATTATTTACCAAGTACCTGAGAGGGCAATGACTCTCTCCGTGTACCTATTCGGTTTGGGTCTGTTCGATCATCCATCATTAGACTGTCATCGTCCAAATCGTCCTCATCCACATCACTCATTCCTGAAAAGATTAAAATCTACTGTGATGAAAGATGCTTCCATGTGTCTCAGTTATGTTACAGTTATTCATACTGGAAGCCGAATGCTTTATAGGGGCAAACAGAAGAGTTAACTCCCTTTCAGATTTACCATAACATTCAGTGGTTGTCATTCATACCACACATTTGTTTCCAAATATAATACCAATTGATTAAAATACTTATTTCAGAAATAATATTTTTCTAATCATAAATAATTTAAAATGGGCTTTTCATTGTTCTTTTTTCTGGTAAACATTCAGACTGCAGATTATTTGATCAGATTATATTAGAGCGATGGGCATTAAATGATCCTTGCACTGATTGTCTATGCTCTTTCTGAGATTTGGCCCTCAAACAGTCCTGCACCTTGAATAAAACACTGTAACTTTTTCAGACTACAATTCTAACATCTTTCTCACCCATACAAAATAAAATGCTTGGTTACTTCTCTGTGTGGGAATCAAATTTAATAAGGTGAATATGATTATTCATCTTATTTTAAAAAATATGTAGAACTGAATGTCTAGTAGGAATTGTAAAATGGAAAACAATTTTAAATGTATGGATTTAAAAGTAAACA